TGGGGAGCTTGTTCTTGGAGTAATTTGTTCCATTTCTTCTTTTTATGTAGGATGAATGCTGTAGAAAGTTTTTCGTAGTCTCTTTGTATATTGTCAGGGAACATGCATGGATTTCTATTTAAGTTGTTGTAGTGTATTAGTTTTCAGGAATATTTAGGTTAAAAAGCCCAGTGTGAGAAACTGAGAATTGTATTTCTAATATAAGGCATTTAAACTTTTTGTGTACCTCTTGAGTCCTGTAGGGAGGGAAAGTTTTCCCTTGAGCCTTTCCATGGAAAAAATCTTTTTTTTTTTTTTTGATCATCTAGCTTCTCTAGTGTATAGGGTTTGCTTCAGCTTGATCTCTGTAAAGAAAACATTAGAGCATTTTTCAGATGGAAACTCAGGTCTCTTTTAGTCCTTTAGCTTTGTTGCAGGGGCTCACATTCCATAGTGAATTTTCTAAATAAACTGTTAATAAATTTTGGAATCAGACTTTAATCAAGTTAAATGTTGGTCTTTGGTATTAGATCTGAGCAAGTAATATCTAGTAAAATATTTTAAAATCTTTCTTCTTTCTATGTCTTCTGATGATCTTGCGCCACAGTAACAAGGAACAAACAAAATTGAATAATTTTGGATCTAGGGGCAAGGTGACAAAATCATACTTTTAATGGAAACCTACTGACAGTTTTAAGTGTGTCATGTGTGCTGTCATTCCAGAATGCCTGACAAAAGAGTTCATATCAATGGCTTAAAATGCATCTGTAGAACTTTGGTGTACTGATCAAGTATTAAATAAGTTTAATGAGCTTAAATCAGATAAACAGGACGGCAAGCTAGTGTGGGGGTTATTCAAGACAGATAATCACGTCTCTTCTTTTAAGGTGTATGTAGCCTGCCAGTCCATGCTTATTGTGCTAGTGGGGGCTGTACCACAGTATCATATCAACCAAGAAGAAATTCCAGCCAGCAGAGATGAGCTTGCCAAGCACACCCAATTTACAGATAACTTCACATCTATAGTAACTGAGGCAAGTGCTTTTTGCTGTGTTACTGCTTAACAATTATTTCTGTATTTCTCATTTCTTTTTATTAACAATATGGGACTCTTCCTTGTGAAGTTTGAAGAATATTTAATTGAGGAGGTTGCATGCACAAACTAATTTACCAGTACATTAGGACATAGAAATCACTGAATGTGAAAGGGTTGCTTGGGTACGGCCTTTCACCTTTAAACTTACCTAGACTTAAGGGATTTTTTTTTTTACTGTTGTTTTCTTTCATTTCTTAAATTTATAAATATATTAAGAGCATTTGTGTTCATTCAATAAATCATGTTCTTGATAAATTCTCCAGTTTTAAAAAAGAAGCTATCTTCAGTTGTGTGCTTATGCATCAAAAAAGCACTTGGAAACTTAAGTGGTAAAGACACATTTGTCACTTCTTTCTCTAGACTGTGTCAGCATTGTTAGAAATATTATTTTAGCCATAATTACAGGGTTACTATCTCAACATTATACTGCAAGTTTTGGTTCTCTTCATTTAAAGTTTTTTCACTAAGGCAGTGGTTCCTGCAGTTCTCATCCTTTCTTAGATAAACAAGGAGTCCCGTATGCAGTTTAATTAATTTTTTTAATTGAAGTTTCACCTACTTTTCAAGGACATTGTATATTTCAAGTCTAAAGCTTCTTAGCCTCAGACTGAAGTATGAGGTCTTGCTGGTAAAATATATTGTTGTTATGAATCTAGCTTGACATTTTATTAGTCACTATAGTAATCAAGGTCAAACGGGTCCTTCCTTATGCAAACCCCTAAATGTATTTAGGAAAAGCATTAACTGGGTAAGATTTACTGTCTTTTGGGTGTGGGCCTAAAACACTTGCAGTCAGTGTGAGGTGAGCCAATTGTATTTTGCACAATAAGACCTAAGTTATATTTCAAGGTCTGAGATTAAATTTACGACAAAGACTTTGTCAGCTAGAAATCAGTAAAACTTATCTACCCATATGATTACAACTGTTTAGATTCTAAATGTATATTTTATGTTCTGATGGTATGATTTTGCTGTGTAAAGTAAGACATGGTTTTACCATTATTTTGCATATAAATCTGTTTTCCAGTTTCTGAATTGAATAGGTTTTGATTTTGTTCTTAAGCTTTTGTCACGATTGGATCATTTCATGAATCTTGACAGCTCCAGATGGAAGTAGAGTATTACTAAATTATAGTATAAATCAGTTCATGTTTAGATAATTTTTTGTTCTGCAAAATTCTTGAAATTAATGGTATAGTTAACAGGTGTTAATAATTTCCCCATTTTACTCTTTTTTATTTAATTTCATTTATTTATTTTATACAAGTGACAGTAACTGTGTTTCTAAATTACAGAATGAGGTAATCTGATCTGAACTCTGTATAATCCAGGCCATAGAAGTTCCCTACATGCTTCTTGTTTGAACTAGGTATTATCTGGTAGAAAAATAACTTATTTTAATTTAGTTCCTCTTCTATAATGAGATTTCCAAAAAGGTTGTCAGTTTGCACCAACTGTAGTAATGGTTTTGGTATGTAGACACCGGTTCACTAAGACCTGGTTTGATTTTTACCAATTCACTTCATGGTTTTCACCTTTTGCCATAGCAGGCCAGTGCTAAACCAGGGCCCTTCTCCCATTTAGCAATGGGAAAAACAATGTGGTTGCAACCTCCCAGAAGTATGACCTCCCTGGAAGTTCCAGTTTTCAGGTTGAAAACGCAGGTCCTGGAGAGCAGGATTCAGTATAAACTAATTTTGATCATGGAAATATATGGCAGAGGTAAACCCATATTCAACACCAAAAAAATGTCTGTGTGTTCTGCTCTGACCGCAAACAAGTTATTCAGAACTTCCATGTGAAAGCCAATTCATTTCAGAATGGAAGAGATTTTTGATTTTGACTTAATTTCTTTATAGCCAAAGCTTCCCTAAGAACTGAAAAATGTCCCCAAATACCTTGGGATGAAGTCACTTACTTTTCTTTTTCTGCCTCTTTTGTGGCATTATCAGTGCAAATATCATGATACTGGAAGCTTTTCCTTGAAATATTCGGTGGAAATATTGAGCTTTGAATTATTTGGTGCTTCTGTGTTTGATTTCCCTATGACCCTCCTCCATGTACATGCCCTAGAAGCCTTTTTTAGATTTGACAACAGCTATTCTCATATAATGCAGTAGCTAACATGTTCTGGTGCATATATTGGTGTGAATTCACCAGAGGGAAAACCATCCTGAAAGCAGAAATTCCATCAATGAGAGGTGGGGCAGGGATTTCTTGCTTTTTGATTCCATGGAACATTGCAGGGAACATGTACTGTAATACCTCCTTTCACGCAAAAATCTGAAGACATGGGCTCCTGCTAATAAGTTGCTATAGGGCAAGGTAAAAAAACAAAATGTGCAGTTCCTTGTTAAAACAACATTTGATTCAGTATTTCACAGCAGGTAGAAAAAAGCCAAATTCCACTGCAACAGAATTGCAGAGACAAGAGGGCCTTGAATGAGATAAATAGGGCAGGATGGTACCTTAGGTCATGTCCAGATGAGCGTGGCTGTGTGATATGTGATGCAGTAGACACATCTGTGCCACCACATACCACACATTCAGGTATTCTCCACACTGCAACGTAGCAGTGTGGCCAGGAAACCCGGGGTAAAAAAAAAACCTGTGCACAAAAAAAAAAAAGTGGGTTCACGCACGCAGGGACAGTACCCGCCAACCAAAACCAGAGCCTGGCAGACCGGAGCCACACTCCAGCTGCTGGCTGGGCTCCAAGTGGCAAGATAGCCACTGCTGCAGCCCCAGGAGGCCCCCAGGACCCCAGGTAAGGCTGCTGGGCAGCCTCCCCTACCCCACCCAGGGTAACCTGCTGCACACCAGAGGGTGTGTGGCACAGGTATTCCAAGTAGCAGTGGCACAAGGTGTGCAACTGCTTTTTGTCCCTGGGATAACAAATGTCCACTGAACCTTAAAGACTAACTGGTTCAGAGAGGCATATGCTTTCATAGTTGACAGTCCATTTTATAGCACCTGACAAAATAAGCTTGTTGCCTGTGAAAACTGATGCCTCTGTAAACCAGTTAGTCTGTAAAGGTGTTAACAGATATCTCATTTGAAGCAATCTTGATTATCCTAGATTTTGACCGACATCAAAACAAAAGCAGTACAGTCATTTACATGTGTAGCCCTTCTGAGTTTCATGGCTCTTACTGTCCCACTAGGTGGCCAGTGAGTGGACACAGCTTGACAGATTTGTCCCTGAAATGAATCGCATCCCATGCAATCTCTGAAGCATTAGCACATTTTATTTCACATATTTTATAGGTAGTTGAAGCAGGTCAAGAGACATGTCAATCTGTAGGATCCAGTGACAAAAGGGACTGGCCCTGCTCCTCCACCCCCCTGGAAAAGTGCTGTGTTGTTGCCCTGCTTTGCCTGACTTCCAGACTAACATGGCTAACCACCTTTCTCTAGTTTATCTCGCATTTTCAAGACCCTGGGATGTAGTTTGATAAATACTGGTACATTATAAAAGTAAAACATACCATATACTACTGTTCCTGGTGAACATTTTTATCATTGATACTGTAAAGGTAATTTGTACAACATAATAGTTCCCTGTTTCTCAAATGAAGTGTAATGTGAGTCCTGTATTTCCATTTTTTAATGGCTTCGGCTGTGTTGCTTTGATTCAGAGTTTATTAGCCACAGCGACAAAATGTTTTTCTGTGTTGTTCAAACCCATTAAGTTAAACCTAGCAGGAGAAATATATTATGCACTTTCTTGATGAAAATATATATTTGTTTAAAACACTTGGTCTGTAATCTGCCCTCAGGCTTTTCTGGAGACTGTGATTGAATATAGCTAAGATAGCAGTTAAAAACAAAAAAAATACTTAATTTCTTAAGAAGCAAATGAATTAGTGCTACTAGTTTTTTTAACTACAAACAAATTCTTGTATTTTTGACAGTGGTATTTAATCAAACAAGAAGCTTATAAAGTGAGCCTTGTATCATCCTTGTTTTTTGCTGGATTGCTTATTGGAAATATTGCATTTGGCCCATTGTCTGATAAATTGGGCAGGAAGCCAGTGTACCTGTCAGGTAAGATGATGATAAAATTATTTTTTCTTACGAGTTTCCTGTTTGGAGATGTCATCTTTCCCCCCCTCCCCCCAGAGTTAATTAAGGTTAGAGCATGAACAATTGGGGTTTTTTTGCTATTGAAACATATCTACATTCAGTTCCTTGGGGCATACACATACAATTTCATTTTCCATTGATGGTTGTGGGGATATTTTTTAAAGAAATATTGCCCTGTTTATTCAATCTTAATCCATTTTAGAAGATGGTTTTGTTTCTTCAAAGTAGATGTGGTTTCTAATATTAATTTCAATTGGTGATCTTCTCAATTACCTTTTCAAGCACATTTTCTGATATAGTGTATTTCCTAGTTTGTGAAGTTTTTTGAAATTGGTAATAGTGTGTAGCACTTTAACTTTAAGAGCCTTCTGCACATTTTATACCTCAGCATAGGATTTTGATTTTACTGTTGCTTAGCCAGCTAATGACACAATTTCACTTAAATTGTCCAACCTCCCAATAGTTGTTGTATCTAAATCATGGGTGGGCAAACATGGGTGGGCCTGCAAGCTGGATCTGGCCTGCCAGCTGATTGGATCCGACCCATGAGCTGGGTCTGGCCCGTCAACTGATTGGACCTCATCTGCAGCAGCACCCGTAGTGGTCTGCATGGGGCCAAGACCCACCTGCTCCCACCTGGGGTGGCCCACATCTGCCAGACACCCCAGCTCTGGGGCCCTGGCCTGTACCCACGTAGCTGGTGAGGCTACTGCCAAGGTGGCCTGTGTACTGTTCTGCACCCCCCACCTCCAGCAGCAACTTCTCCTCTTCCTGCCCTTGCTGTGCCACTCTGGCAGCAGGTAATGGGGGGAAGCTGTGGAGATGCACGCTGGGTAGCAGATGCCCAGCCAGGCAGGGGGGAAGCTGCAGCCAGGTGTCTTCTGCCCCAGCAGGCAGGGATCCAGCTCCTGGCTGCCTTCCATCTTGTGGCACGATGAGCAGCCACTTGTGGGTGGCTGAGTGAGTAGAAGGCGGTTGGGAGTGGAAACTGGAGCCCTGCACGCTGGGGCAGAAACTGGAGCCCTGCACAGGCAGAAACCACCTGTCCCTTTGCCCAGAACACATCCCCATGCCTTCCCCACATTACCTGCTGCCAAGAATAGCGCAGCAGGGGCAGGAGGAAGGGAGCTGAACACTACTTCCGTGGCTGTGGCAGCAGCCCTGCTGGGATGCTGTCTGTGCTGGGTGGGGCTGGGATGGTGCTGTCTGGTGAGCATGGGGCAGGTGCAGGCTGCCCCAGGAGGAAGCAGACAGGACTTAACTGCATGTGGAGCACCGCTGGGGCAGCCATGGGTCGGATGGGTAGGGGGGTGAACCTGACCTGCACTGTCCGGGTAAGCTCTGCTGCTTGCTCTCCCTGTCCCCCACCCCTTCTTCCCCCATCCCTAGCTAGCTCTCAGGACCTAATGTTCAGGCAGCACCCCCCTGCCCTCCAACATACACACTTCTACCCCACCCCCCACAATCTACAAGAGTAAGACTTTATTATGCAATTGCCTCTATATACATTACACACAAAAAAACCAAATCAGGACAAAAATTATTTTTTGAAATAAAATTAAAATATGTTATAGTAGTATATAGTATATAGTTTGGTTTTCAGTATATAATTTGTTTTTTATCTATAATTTGTTAAAATATCTTCAGAACGATTTTATGCATGTGGTCCTTCACAGCTCATAAAACTCATAAAGTGATGCCCCAGCTGAAATAATTGCCCGGCCCTGGTCTAATTGATGTGCTATTGGTCAGGTGAACTATACTAGCACATATGTTTATAACCCATTTCCTATCCAACAAAAGGTGTGAAATTTGTTTTCATGGTTTTTTTTTTTAGAATTCACAATAGAGAGACTCATACATTTCATATCTGTAAAGTTAAATGCTTTTCCATCCATACTATATATTTTTTCTTTTTTTGGCATGCTTTTTCTTATTTTAAAATAACTTACTGTAATTTCATAGTATTTAGAAGGACAAACATGACATCATCCCTATTCCCATAACCTGAAGGATATTTTCTAGTGTGTCCTTTCTGGTTGCTGGACAATTTTAGTAGAAATGCAGTACTTTTTATAGGTAGCTAAAGATGTATAGTGTAGTAATTGAAATGCAGGAGTCAAGAATACTGGAGTTTGTTTTTGGCTTTACTGATGTTACTTGGGCAACAGTTGCATAATCATTTTGCATGTTATTCCTACCTATAAAGTGTGAATAATAATCATTCACATTGATTGGATTCCAAATATTTCATCAGAGCAGGCATATTTCTCACAAACTCAAAACAGCATCTCTTGGGATCTCAAATCACTTGAAGAGCATTTGACTAGTTACATTAGAGCAGGGGTGGGCAAGATGCGGCCTGCCAGGCTATTCTGTCTGGCCCACGGGACCCCTAAAAAATTTAGAAAATTAATATTAATCTGCCTTGGGCTGCCTGTCATGCAACCCTTGATGGCTTGCCGAAACTCAGTAAGTGGCCCTTTGTCCAAAATAATTGCCCGCCCTTGCACTGGAGGACAGTGTAAACAGTGATGATTATTCACTCTTCACAGGCAGGAAAAACTAACTTAGACTATATCTGAAGTCAGAACATCTGGATACAAATAGTTCCTGTTTTTAGGAATGTTATTTCATCTCAATTTTGATGAGTAATGAATACTTATATCATGGCCATTTATTTTTCAGTTGAAGCGTTTGTTGTTTAATGATAATGTCTGAAGGTAAGGTTTCTTGTATAGATCTCTATATTAGTGATTACACAACTTGGGTTTCAGACTTGTACATAAGCTAATAGAGATTGGAAAATATTTGGAGTTCCTTGGAATTCTCATTTTTAAAGGTGTTAGTAAAATCAAATATGTAAATTCAGAGAGATACTATCTGTACAATGCTAGTAATGGTAAATAATTTAATTCTGCCCCTTTTATCCTTCCCAAATTCAGTCTACTTGATAAGGCTAATATACTTTGTGCATTTTTGTTCAGGTCTGTTCTTTGATGTAATTTTCGGGTATGCTGCGGCATTTGCTCCAAGCTATGAAATTTTTGCAATGTCACGCTTTATTGTTGGGATTATGAATGGTGGAATGTCTCTGGTGTCTTTTGTCTTGACGCAAGAATATGTAGGAAAGTCATTCTGGTCTTTTACAGGTAAAATTTAAGAATATTTTATTAGTACTGTATAAAGTAATTGTTTTTTTTAAACTCACAAATGTATTATGATTTGTAACTTTATAAAGTTAATTTAAGTAAATATTAAATGACCAATTTTTTTCATTCCAAGTTACCACTGAGTTAAATGGGAATTTTGCTTGAATAGGAACCATACAATTGGGTCCAATATGATAAACAATGGTAAAACCGTGAGATTTCAAGATTAGCATAATTCAGTGGTTCTCAGCTCTTCTAGATTCCAGGCACCCACTGAAAAATGCCAGCTCTTAGCTTTCACTCATTTCTTTACTACAAAAAAATAAAATAGTTATTCTTCTGTCCCCAGAAAACTCGGAAAGACCACAACAAATCAGGATGTTTTTGACCTTAGGATTTCTGCCCCACATCTAACAGTGCTATATTGTGTGACACTATAGTACCCTTAAAATGCATCTCACAGCACCCTAGAGTTCTGCAACACCTTAATTGAGAATCACTGTTATATAAAATTTCATTTGTAGTCTACTTTCCTTGAAAAAGATGTTTTTTATGGACGCTCCCAGCTTCTAAATTACACTTCACATTTCCTTGAGAAAATATTTAGAAGAGCAAGTGCTCTTTTCCCCACCAAAAATGTATTTAAAGCAATATGCTCTTCTGTCTCATAAAATGAGTTAGCATGTATGTAATGCTTCCCCTCCACTCCCAAGTGCAGTACTGATATCAAATGTCTGTATCTGACAGTGCCAAATTTTAAAATACAGGTAGAAGAGGTAGAAGTGCAAGTTCTTTGCTTCATCACACTATTGCAAATCTATAGTATGTCTAACTACCATGGATTTACACTAGAGTAAACTGAGAACAGAATTTGGCCCAACATGCTTAACTGCAGTGGTTATAAGCATCATAGGGGCCTATAGAGTAGGCTTCTGCAAATAGGGAAGTATTTGATTCAGACTCAGCTGATTTGGAGGACAGTGAGTCAATTCGGAGATTCAGATCACCGCCCTGAAAACGCAATACTCACTTCTTCAGGTTTCCCATTCTATTTTTTTCTTTTTTTTTCTTTTATCATTTTCTTACCCTCTAGGAAT